CGGTGGACCCTGAAGACCCTGCCACCAACCTTCAGCCCCACGTCACAGAAGTCTGTGCGGAGCCGCATCTTGTTCATCTGGGCCAGGATGAGTCTGGCATAGCGGTCTGAGGCCAGCAGAGCCTGCTCGGACCCCTGGGTTGCCATGGCAGCTGCAGCATCACCACCACAACACGTGGATGTTGACACAGAGGTGGAGGACATGGCAGCGGTGACAGATCTGTGATAACATGGAGGCCAGTAATCCCAAACCCTCCTCTCTAGTGAGGCTCAGCAGGAAACAGGCCTGAAGACACAAGAGCTGAGGGCATGAACACCAAAACAGACACACTTCACTGTTGTGTAAAAACAGAAATTAGGCAATGTCAGCAATATACGATAAACATATAAAATACTTTTTTGACTGCTGCATGGTAAAGCACACTAGTGCAGTCATAGGTGAGTTACTGACCGTCACTCTGTTGCTGTATTGTCTGTAAAAAAAATACACCTGCCGCCGAAGTTAGCCAGCCATGCTAGCATACAAACAGCCCGTCAGGGTGGATTCAACCATCATATTCATCAGTACAACGCTCAACTCAACTCAGACAACCTGTACTGCTCCACCAAACCCCGCTCGGAGAGGGTCAACTCACAGAGAACGACGGTGTGGTTAAGAAATGTCAAATTTCAGCTTGTTTTTAGCCGCGACTTACCCATAAGTTTACTGATGAGGATGCAGGCAACTTCCGTCGCCCTGCAGACTGTCAATCGATGTTTCTGGCTCGACTGCACTGGTCTGGCAGATGAATCTCCAGTCTTACCCAATCAATCCCCGAGACGACCCTCGCTGTCTCTCTTGGGAAACAGCACTTTAAATGACACGAAGGTATGGCTTATTATGTTTTTTTTATAATAACATTTTTTTTATTCTTCATTATTTTTGCTCAGTTTTCTCAATAATTCACGCCAGATTTCTGTTATAACACATAACGCCAGATGGCAGTGTTGCCTTTGAGTAAGTGGCCAAACAAATGAGAGCCCTTGACAACAAGCCACAGAAACCTGCCATGTAAATTATCATAGTATTCTTAGCATGTCAGAATGGTAATTTTAGATGTAGCTATCCTCCACTGTGTGAGCTGTAACCTCTTCCACTGGAGACTTGACCAAGCCTTCAATCCAGCCTACTCTTAGACAGTGGCAATGGGTAGTCCAGTTTGTTTTAATCAGTAGCTTGACATCAAATTAGTTTAAATATTATGTTGGAAACCTGTTATTACATACAGAACTCGAGCACTGCTTGGGCCGATTAGACCTGTCTGGTCCATTGAATTGAGGTGAAAAACGACTGTGACAGTTAACAGGAAAAAGTCCTGTAACTGTCACTTGACTTGTATTTCCTGCTGTTTCAATGTGTCACCCAGAATTACACCGCCAGTGGTGTACTAGAGAATATGTGGTGGCACCAACCTTGGCCAATTAAAACTCAAGATAGATTTGTGTCAACCTGGCCACCCTTTGTACTACACAATTGGCTGGGTTTCCCTCTTGTTGCCCAGTATTGTTATATTTCCAGTGTGTCCTGTTTCCCTATAGGGCATCCACCATGGCCATTATCTCAGCTGAACAATTAATTATCTTATTGGATGCAGCTTGAATGGACTCTTAGTACGCCATTATAAGGCAAACCTTCTGAACTGAGTGAGCTTTGAAAAAGCAAACACACATTTTATGGTTCCTCTTATTTGCAGCCAAATATCTTGGTAGGAATTTGAAAATCTAAACTTAAAATGTTACATGTCTGCCTTGAGAGACTACAATGAGTTTGTGAACATGAAAAACATAATTGGCTAGCCAAAGAATCATCAGTGAGTACAGTCTAACTTTTTTATCATCAAATATTTCAAATTATCAAAAAGAAAACATATTCATGTAATACAACTAAGGTTACTATCTTCTGACATATTCAGCTGCCTCATTTTTCACAATGGACTTCCAGCATAGATCTTTCCATGAGTAAACTACAATAATAACAATAGTGTTTTAACTTGTAATGTGATACCCTCTCTTTTAAATGCTGATCAAACAGTCCAAACCTGCTTACGTGTTTATCAGAGAACAACAAAAATGAAAATCTGGAAGGCGAATGTATTCTTCATCCTCAAATAAGACAACATTTTTTTCTCAATAGTGGCACGAACACTGACACTTTCCACACAAGCCTGAGTTATGTGTTAATCACATCGTGTATTTTTAGCAGTCGTGAATTATCAGTGCTGTTTAGTGATTCAAGAGCCTCATTGGTGTTTCATTGAAGTGTGACAACAGCGTCCTTTCATTCAATGGATGATACATGAGGGACATACATGTTCTCTAGTCCAGCATGATGATGTCTGTCAGAAGTTGTTTTAAATAAATGATAAAGACATTTGTTGATGGTTGTTCATAGTGACTGAAAACAGGCCTCTGCTAAATCCTAAAGACTTAATCATAATGACTGGCTTTATGTGTTTCATTTGTAATAAGAAAGTCATTCATGTTCTTGCCTTTTGTTCTTTATGTTGCTGCCTGGACAGGTGTCTCTTGTAAAACAGGTTTTAATAAGTAGGTGAGGTGCTAAAATGAATTTGAATGTAGTGGCACAGATTTCTTTTGGCAAATGTGCTTCTGTTACAGTGTGATTGTGCTTTTTTTTTATTGTTAGGCATGGCTGTAGTCTCTCACTCGTCACTTCTCCTGCAGTCAATGTTTTTGCTTGTCATGAACATGCTAATTATTTTCACTGATCATCGTGTCTCTCCATTGTGGTGATGGGAAGTGTTTGCGCAGCTCCCAGAATCTCCCATGTAGTGGCAGAGAAAGTAAACGGTGTGAGGGTCATCCTATGGAAAGTGGTCACCATAATTACCATTCTGCTTTAAGTGCAGGGTATGTCTGACTTTTTCATCAGGGCTCTGTCCTTTGGCAAGACGTTGCTTTCACCAGGAAAGAAAAACACTGTGAGACGATATTGACAGCTTATGGTTCTTATGGGAGTCGGTAGAGTTCAGAGTTTCTTAGTCCTAAGAATTAGCTTTAAATCATAATGCAAAACATGTTATTACAGCACTCTGTGGTAGGAGTTTTATTATTATTTCCATAATATTGCCCATAACTTATAATGTAAAAATCTTTGTCATATGATGAGGATATTTTGTGTTCATAATACTGCTCCCTTCTTATTACAAATACATAGCAGTTGCAAGTTTTATCTGGTCTACATGTTTGTTCTGATATTGCCAGACAAGGCTCCTGTCCTCACCTGACGGGACTTGAACTGTGTAACCCTTCCTTATCTTGGCTACGCCTACAGTGTACAGAGTGACAGTATTATGCTTTTAGGCCAAACTGCATTGTGACTTGAACACTGAAGCTTCTCTGCCATCTGCACCGGAGCCGGTGTCTGTCAGTCCTGTGCCACATTGGTTTGCTGGCCATGTGCCGGCTGGTGCTTTTTTAATCTATCTGAAAGCTGAACTCCCGCAATGAGGTTGTCCTGAGAGCTTGAGAGACGCTGAGGTCCTTCATTTATTACAGCTGAAATCATTAGTGAGGATTTTGTTTCCTTGAGACGTACAAATACAATATGTATGTCGCAGGTTGAACTGGGACGAATGCAAAAGGTTGGGCACTTATCCAAAAGGAAAGTTTTATTTTAGAGTTGAGTCAGTGTCTTGCTCTACCTGTTTCAAGGAGGTGGGATCAACTACCATCCCTGCTGAAGCTGCTATCTGCAAATCTGATTTGGCTGTGGATCTTGATTTTGCATTTCTGGTGAATGGATTGTCAGCAAACAGTTGTATTTTATCCCTTGTAAGAGCTGTCATCTCTCATCTCACTGCGGTCTGAGCCCCTTACTACAACCACTGTTACCACAGGTCACTGAGATAAATACATTATCATATTAGGTTCAGAAGCATCTATAGTGAATCACATTGTTAACTTTTGTTCAGTATAATTGTTTCATCCAATGCCACTTTTATTTTAAAGTTCTAAACTGATTCAATTCAGGATTAATGACTTCATGTAATTTTCTTTTTTGATTTTATTTGAGAACACAGATTAGCAAAACAAGAAACCTTCCCAGTGTGTTTAAGTGTTAACCTAAACATTTTGCTAAATACAATATTCACTATACTACTTCTACTATAAGTAGTGATGACTGTAAGTAATCAGATGTTGTTTATTGGGCTATTCTTTAAAAGGATAGCCAAAATATTAAAGAAAATACATTCCTGAAGAAGAAAAAAAAGATTTAGTACAAACTTTCACAACATAACTTTCATACTAAAACTTGCTGTGCATCATTTACCATAATTCCTCCAGGCTTGGAAACAATTTTCCATCTCAATCTTCTAGCTTTTCCATGACTTCAACAACTCAGTGGGTGATAAACCTGTGAACTTATATTCTTAAATAAATAGATACATTCATACATACATGCAGAGGTGCAAACACAACATACAGACACATTGTTAAGCTTTTATTTGTGCTGGTGGTATTAGAGAGACTTCGAAGAAAATGTGGAGCTGGTATGTTTAATGGTTCAGTCCGTAGCCTACATGCTGCTTGGCAGGCAACAGTGTCTCTTGCCTTCAGCCTATAAGCCAGCTATAATGTGAGCTAGTAAAAAAGAGAGGAAAAAAAAATCCCTCTGTTATCGATTCTGCCTCCAACATAGCAACTGCTCGCTGATTGGCCGACGCTCGGCACGTTCCCGGCCTCCCATTGGCTGAGCGGGTAGCGTGGAAACGGTGGAATCGGACGGAGACAGAGGGGAGGAGAGCCGCGATTGGCTGCGGCTAAACTGAAAGCGAAAACCTCTCTTTCTGAAAGCCTGAGAGACAGTTCATGGGGTGTGTATTTTAGGCGTGACTCCAAAGGTAATTCGTCCTGCTGCCCCCCGCCCCCCCCAATCCCTCCCTCCTTCCCCATCCCTCCCCCAGCCAGGAACTATAAAGCAAAATGACTATGAATTTAAAGGAGCAACAAGCAAAGAGAAAGGGAAGTAGAAACGGACTATGTGTGTGTAAGAGCAGGAGAAAGCTGTGGGGTGGAGGGGGGGGCTTCGTGTTTTTATATGGATTAAATTCAGATTTCACCGAGATAAGGAACATAGGACTGAGTGGTGCAAACTAAACTGCTGTCAAAGCAAATAGTTCTGGGCTGAAGCCAGGTGGGAGTGTGTTTCAGGTTAAAGGAAGTGCAGCAAAAAGGCCCAATTTGACCTTTCCAGCCTTCATTTTTATACCATCCTGTACAGGAGGTATGAGGAATTGTGAGTACTCTTTCCTGTCCCTCCTCTTTTCCTGTCTTGTCTACCCCACACGCTTTCTCTACCCACTCTCTCTCTGTCTTGTGGACACTCATGCTGCAGCCTGAGTGTGACTCAGCTCTGGTACAGTCTGTCCTAACTATCTATCTCTCCCCTGCATCTGGTCCATCTCTAGCCGAGCACGAACGCAGCCTGTCCACCAGCTCTCTATGCTGACACAGGTAAGAGGGAGTAATCCGTGGCCTGCAACTGAGGCTCTCCCCCAGTACATCCCCGCCCTCTGCACCTCATTAATCCCTACCTAACACAGACCTTATGTGATGGTGGAAACAGGCCACCTGTTGCTCCGGTCACGGAGGGCCAGCGGTGGTGTCACCCAGAGTCAGCATCGTCATCCTCCTCAGTGGTCACCATATTGTAGCGGCTCATTTGTAGATAGTGCTAAAGTTTGCGTAATTATCAGGGCAACAATGGTGTTGTGATAAAGTTCTGCAGACGAAACCCAAATGAGCTGCATTCCTTTCCCAGGAACATCAAAAAACGTTTGAAAAAACAGCATGTTCATTCCGAAGTAGGACTGACAGATTGTTTTCTAGTGACTCAACGGCGGCCAGACCTAGTAGGGACAGGGCCTGCACATATCCTGCTATTGTCTTTATCGCTTCCTTTCTCTTCCATCTGTCCACAGTGTGTCCTCCAGTGCCCTCGCTGCCTCCTATCTCTGCTGACCCAAGGATAAGCTCATCGGACGACAGTGGCTCCACTACAGACTGACGGTATATTTTAGACAACTTTTCTATGCTTTGTGTTTTGTCATTTTTGTGTCATAAAAAATTTGTAACACTACTTGGGGAAAAAAATACTATATATACACAATTATACACTATATATATATATATATATATATATATATATATAAATACTAACATCTTTTTACATGGTTACCATAAATTATTTTTTAAAAAAAGCGTGCATACTGTGAAAGCAATAGACTGTGTAGAAGAAAGACAAGCAATGGATTATGTAAGTTGACAAAACCCTCATCAGTTTATTGTCTTTCAGCAAGAAAAAGGTCAGGATCTCACATTGCTTAGCTTCACCCGAGGAGTTTCCTCAATCCCCCAGTGGAGTTATATTTTTATAAGAGGCGTAATCACCCTCCTTCCATAAACCAACCTCAGAAATACATTTTACAGTTTCTCTGTACAGAGTATCTATTGTCCTCAAACTTGAAAAATGTGCCAAGTTCAACATGGATTCCTTTCCTCTTAAGCTATGTAGGCGGCATGTCATGAAAAACATTCATAGCTCGAGCAATGCCACAGTTCAAGTAATGGAGGCAGGATACTTCCGGACCTCTGGCAGTTCACACAAACATCGGAGGCCACATCATACCGACACCACCAAAGAGAGTGCATTTTTGTGGCAAATGTCAACCTCTCATAACAGCATTACCTTCACCACCATCATCATCGTCATACATTGCAACAATAGAAATACTGTTGGATTGCACTTTCTTCAAGCTTTCATCTTGTGGCATGTTTATAGAAAAAATATATATAGAATACAAAAAGCTTATACTTCTTTGAGTAACAGAATATAACATACAGTACTTCAGATTATGTTTTGATCAGCACATCAGCAGGTGTACATAAATTGCCCTCCCCTTGCCCAAATGCAATTACCGGACTTAACAGGGACGTAGTTTCGCTCACTATTAAGTGCTTTGGTCAATGGGTTTAACATTGAGTATGCTCGTACAATGGTATTCTACAGGATGTTAATGCTACATAATTATCCACTGTATATGAATGCCTGTTTAAGAAAGGGGCATATTGTCAAGATGCACCACGACTTTTCACATATTCACACGTGGCATTTACCCAAGAAATGGTTTGGTCCACCAAACCAGTATGACGGAAACAGACTGTTTACAGCACCATTATCCCCCTCACAAATGCACTACGTAGTAGTAACCTATGGTGTTGTATTCCTGCCACATACCTGAGGTAATGGGTCATTTTGAGTACAGAAAAAGCACATAAATTAGAGTTTGTAGAGAAATTATCACACAAGCAATTTAATTTGAACAAAGAAAAATCTATTTGTGCTCAATACATTTCTTACCGTGTTTCCTACATCCCCATGAGTGCATGATGATAACCTCTTTCACTCAGTTTAATCATTTCCCTGCTCTGTGCGCTACCAAATACTTGGGACCCTAGTGTTTCTCTCAACATCTCTGCGCTCGGCTCTACTTGACAGCGTGTGACAGTGTTCTACAATGCCAGCCAGTCAGAAAACGAGTGTGTAATTTCTTCATTAGCAGTGTATACAGTTTTATGAACCGCTTGCAAGTTAGTCTGTACTTTATTAGCTTGCAGCCAAACTGTCTTGGTAGTTTGGGAGCTAACATCTCTCATATATGCAGTAACTAACTGAGCTACTTGGCTTCCTTTAAGATTGCAAACTACACAGCCAAGACATTGAAATTATTTATGAAGTTCCTTGAAAAGAAATGGAACTTAAACTGCCTCTAATTTTTTTTATCTTAGTAGCGCAAGCCCCTGTAAAAAGTGGTAAAAAGCATAGAGCCCTGAGTTGATTCTAATAGTTATATAGCTAGCTGACATAATTCACTAATTACTATAAACCAACTAATAACATTCTTATAAAATCAGATGTACAACCCTCTGAGTTATTTCAATTTGTACATAAAACTCTGACTAATTTTTTATATTTTATTATATCTTGCATTTTTCTGTTCTATTTTTTTATTTTGTTTCATGTGCATTTTCTTTTCTGTTGTGTTGTATCAGGAGCTAGCAAGTAAATTTCCCCAGTGTGGGATCAATAAAGTCTTAAATCTTATCTTACACATTGAGAGAGTGAAAGAGATCATCACTGTGTGCTTATGTGGATATTATCAGGTAAATGATTCATCGAGGACTTGTTTTTTCTCGCTCAAATCCAAACTTTCTGTGCATGATAAATATAATTTATGTGCTTGCAAAAAGCCTTTTTTTCTGTCCTCAGAATGGGCCCTCACACACTCAGGAATGAGGTACAAATATAACTCCATTGTAACCAAATATGTTTCTAACCTATTGGTCAAATTTTCAACTGAAACATTTTAACTAGGGAAATGGACATCTTTTACAACATCAACTCCGGTTGTAAAAGTCTAACAAAGGTGCAGCACCTGACGCCAGTGAGCAATTTTCTGGTTGTCAACATCCCTACCGAAAAGGTGTCCATTAAAGAAATGGAAATAAATGAAGTACAAAAAAAAACATTAAAAGCTTAAACAGTCTCTTTGAAAACAAAAAAACAAAAACAAAGTTCAAGCTGACATTCAAGATCCGGTCCCACTTCAATCTGTGAACTCCCATTCACAAAAACCGATGGAATCACTGTAGTGCAAAACTTTACACATTGCACCTCGATGCAGTCATCCTCGCAGGTTGCAGTAAACATGTCCTTTTGTCTCTTTCCGTTGGATTACATCTCTGGAGCGGCAGGCGGGAGCCCCGCTGTGTGTTTTGGAGTCTGTAAGAGTTTGTGTTCCTCTGCGTTTTGAGAAGGCGTGGCTGCAGCTTTGGCGTGTACTGGATGTGACAGCCGAACATCCAGGGCGTCATTGTGTTGCGCTAAGGAGTGCAGGCGATAGTGCAGGACAAGGTCTTTCAGTGAGCAGTGGACGTCGTAGGGCTCAGCAAAGCCGTATCCGTGCGGTGTGCTGTAGACCATGCAATGCTTCACTTCCTCATTCACGCTGTAACAAAATAAAGGAAAAAAAACATCAATAAGTGTCACACCATTACACCATGCATAATATTCATCTCAAAAATCAATCTGTTCTCCAGGTACTGCTTACTAAAATGTCACACTCACACAACAGAGCAGGCGTAGCATCCTTGTTTACTGCTCTCACGGATCAGGAATGTTCCAGGGGCTTTCCCTTGAAGCATCTCCTCGGCCTGCGTCCGGCTCAGTTCACCGACAAACCAACTCGTCTCATCCTGATGTGGCAAATTCTTCTCGTCTCCCTTCAACACATATGTGCTGAAAAACACAAGAGTCGTATTGTAACGCTACTGTAATAATTCTGTATTTCATTTTTAAGTTATCGGCTGCTTTCTTAAACAGAATTAGTTGAAACTTACTCATCAAGGCTGTCACTCTGCGTCCCCAGCCAGTCATTTATACGTTTCTGCCGTACGCCTTTGTGATTAAGCCAGCTGCAAGGAGAAAGTGTAAAGAAAGGTTTTATTTTTCACATAAATTAACTGCACTTAACAGAGCAGCTACGGAAATGCTCTTACTTACTAATTTACTACTTAACTACACTACTTACTTTAGGTACTGGTCTCTAATGTTGCGTAGCTGGATAAGGTCAGGCCGCAAGCTGTTCATCTTCCTGTCCGTCTCTCTGTAGTCCTCCACCTGCGTTCTTAAGTCTTCCTCCAGATGGATTTTGCTGTCGTAGATCTCCCCGAGACGACACTTGAGCTTCTCGTAATTGATCAGAAAGCTAAAGAGGGGCAGTAAAGGTCGCAGGTCTGAATACAGTTCAGCAAACATGGGCTACGTGCACACAAATTAAACTACATCTGGGGACATTTTATTTTTTGGACCACAATGAAATAAAGTACCTCTCTAGATCTTTGTCGGCGCCCTCAGACTGATTGTTCCTCTCAAACTCCTCTCCATAACGCTCCTGTTCACGACACTGCTCCTCGAAGATCAGCATTGTCTCATTGAAGGCCTCAATTGCTGTTCGCTTCATCTGGATCTCCTGCATCACAAAGAACACCTCCAGTAAGAAAAGACTGATGAATGTAAATTCCACTGTATATCTTTTCAGAGTTCATTTATTAAGTGTGTTTTTACCTGCGAGGTCTTTGTGAATGCTTCATAAAGACGATCAAACTCCTTCGTCTTCTCTTGATACTGACTGTGAACCTCCTTGAGCTTTCTTCCAGCGACGTCGACAGTGTCCTCTTTCACCTGGAGGAAAAATATCACACTTAAATATGTACAATTCATAATCCTGTGTACTAAACACAAATCTCCATCATCGCTTTTTGCAGCGTCTGACTTTTTAAGGACATTTTAATTAAAAAAGCATTAAAAGTTGCTGCTCGCTAACCTGCTGGAAGCGGGAAACAGGATGTGTGAGCATCAGGTCCAGCGTGGCGTTGTATTCGACCAGCGGATGGTGCTGGTAGTGCCATATGAGCTCCACTACTGAAGTAAATGTGAGGGGGTCCGAGAAGCCGTACTTCCCATCGCGGTGGTAAATCTTTATCAACTTGTTGTGCCCGTCTTTCCTGAAACGTGAAATGGCAACGCACAAAATTAGTTTATGAATGCAAAGAATTTTTGTGGTAGTGCTTGCGAAGGGTTGTTAGTCTCTTTTTCTTCTGCTTACCTTAATGTCAGCGTAAAGTCTCCCTGCAGCTTTGTGGAAGCGTCCCGCACCATAAAGGAGCCATCAGGTGTGTCTCGAAGCTTCTCGTTCACCTCATCCCTGAGGGAAAAAAAGTGAACGGTTAACAGGTCTCAAATACCAATACGTCCAACAATCATCTTAGTGTTTGTTAGAATGACAGCACGTTTGATATGGGACTGTTAATGTTATTTACCTGCTTATGTCTCCCCAGTACCATTCGGCGTCCTGTAGCGAATACACAGGTGGTGAAAGGCAGTTGTTGTTCATGGTGGAGGACACTGGCTTTGTTGACCTGGGAGGCAGAGCTAGAAAGCAAAAGAG